TCTTAATACTGTATTAAAGTGTGTTTACAATCCATCGATCGAATATACATGTCAAATTAGATCCCATTTACGTAGATCTTACGTCAGAAATCTGTTCGTGTATCATAACCTCCAAATCGTTAGGACTCGAAAGTAAAATAATATTACAGACATTCGATGAAACTCGATCGGTGAATCAAAGACACGATTGTGGTCCGAAATCCATTTCTCTCCGTTCTCTCCCTACACACGGTAATAAATCGCAAACCCTACAATGCCTAAAATCGACTCCCATCACAGAAGTCCACGCTAACATCCGACGTCCATGGACCGCGACGAAGGTACGCGAGCGACGTGTGTGAACGTAGATTCTTCAGAGGGAGCTACTGTCGCGGAGAAGCATACCCTTCGTATCCCCTTCCCCCTGCCGAGCCGCACGCGGATACTCGAGAGCGATCGCGCGTTAAATGCGCCACTGGCCGCACGCGGTCGCGTGGCGCGCGCGTGTCCTCCTGTCAGGGGGTTCCTGTTCGAAAGGATGCTTGAGGAAACGCCGTCACGCGTGTGTGTGTACATTTTAAGCATTGTTCGGACGAAATGCTGTTCATGTTACATTTCGTTATATCTATTCGTTAGCAAATATCACGTAATCGAACATATTATAATCTACAGATTTGTATGTCATTTGGAACAATGTGTCAACTGGAAAATTTTGTTTTTGAAAGATTAATACAGGTAAACATGCATTTGATTAATAGAGATATACAATTCATATTCATGTTTGGATTTTGTAGGACTTTTAATGGAAACGTTTCGTTTAACCGGTGGGCTAAAATGGAAAATATGATATAAATAAGCTACGTATGTACGTTTTATAGGTTAACTTGTAGGTTACCATGAATAAATGATTTTCGAATTAATCTTTTTTAGAGAAACCTATACATAAAAGTTATATAATATGGTATGTATTATCGTTGATAATATCGATTAGATAATTATGAATATTTTTAATATCAACGTTGGAGACATTAACCAATCGACATTAACCAATAACTTCTACCGACAAAAATCCTTATCTATGGTCAAATCCTAACACTTTACATGTTATAAGAAATAAATTTTATTCGACTCACAGCACGTGGAGTCGTCAACGTAAAACAAGCGTATCAACGTCTGCAGACAGTCTTACCTAGTCTCGCCTCGCCACGCCGTTTCCAGTGAATCACGGCTGTAAACGGTTAATGGGTGCTGTAGCTATATTGCAGTGGCTTCACTGGCCACTTTTCAGCCTTCGACGAACGTCGATCGTCGCCCCTCAATGGATGTCGCTTTGGGGTGGTTTCAGTGAGAGTAGAATGGTAGGCTAGTAAAGTAAAAATGAATATTTGTCTTTTTTGTTTTTAGGAAGAGAATGAAATTATAATACTTGTGATGATGATGATGACTATGATAATGATGATACTTATACTCTATAAAATAATCAGATGATATACTTGTGTATTTTAACATTACAACTACTGACCTAAAATGTCTACTCAAACTTAGTATATGCAAATTACAATAATTAAAATCCTGTTAAGAAAATGTTTATTGATGACTTGGAAATTGAATATTGACAATATTTATAACAATTAATATAATTAGAAAATTTTGTCTGTTAATAATTAAGAAGCAAATAGAGATTGTCCAAAGAATTGAAGATTAGTAAAAGGTAATTTTTGAAAAGTTAAAGCTAAATGTTAAATCTTGAAATCTTTTCACCTAGAAAATATTTATTATACCTGAGGCTAAAGTGTCCTCATAGCGTGTACCATAGTTATAAACACTTTAATAGAAGTTGACGATGGCAACGTCTTAGGTCATTTTCAATCTTCGACGCTCGTCGATCACATCAGCTTAGGAAGCTCCAGTACACAGCCCTTGCACGAAATCATAGGAAACAGAAAAGGTTCTGATATAAGATTAGAAAAGTAAAATTACCTCAAAGGACTGATTTTCCGTTCTAGATATACCCTACGTTTATCTAACATCTGAACCACTGACCAATTTTTAGCGAACAGGCGCCATTGACTCTCTGAATCGATCATAATTAAATCATGCCTTCAGGTGACCATTGAGAAAGTGGAACGCTTCACAGGAAAGGTTTTTAATTTCTATTTTCAAACACAAAACTATTATTTTTCATTTTTATCCAAAGTGAAAGAAATGATAATTATTTTGTATACGAATTCATTTATAGCAACATGAATCTTCCTACCTACGAGTTCTATTAACATTCCAATCCTATCCAGTAAAATATTAAGTACCGAAATCGTTCTGAATGTAAAAATACAAAGACACTGGAATCGATCTGGATTTATAAGTGCAGAGGTATAAATGCAATTGATCTGGTTTCATAGGTACAAAGCTACTGGAATAAGTCCAAATTAAGGTATTATAATAAGAATGTTCTGAATTCATAAGTAAAAAACTCTACTGGAACGTGTCCAAATTAAGGTATTGGAATGGATCTAAATTTACAAGTATTTACAAAAGTACTGAAATTATTTTGAACCCATATATGTATATCAAACTTGATCCTATCGTCGTCAATTTACTACATCTATCGAGGCGAGACTAATAAGGATAAAGTTGCAGTAGAACGATGACTGTAATATTTAATCATGATCGACTGATCGTCTAACGAGCACGGTCTCGACTGATAATTCTTCTACCCGGCCTCCGGTTGTACGGGATATCCTGGTGGCGTGAATCACGGACATAAGCGGCCAAACCAAAGCCATCGACACGGGCCACGCACGCAGCTTGACCACTTTCAACTTCATCGTCCTGCCTCTCAGTCCCGTTCCACGATATTCCTCGAAGCCCTGCCTCGAAATCGATCGTCTTGATGGCTTTTTAATCGGTCGACGCGAAATCGGCACGTTTTATCTTAATAAAGTACTTTTTGGGAGAAAAAAGAAAGGAGGTAAAATAAAAAAAGAGAAGAAACAAGAGAATTAAATCATTAGATAGGTTTGTAAATTAACGATAAACTATATTTGATACGAAAATAATATAACAATGATAACCGATTTAAAACTTCCTCTTTTTCAAAGTCTCACTCGGTGGAACCAAACAAGACAAAATCTGGTACGATAATTGTACTAACGATAGGAAAGAATGAGTGACGAATATTCCTACAATCCACTAAACAATCCTCGCGGGATCTCCAGTGCTCAAGACCAACCACCGTTCATCCACGACTCCTGTCAACCCGATCCGAACGCTCTTGACTGGGTGCAAATAAATTCCATCATTGCCACAATAAGCGTTGAAAACTCGTTCTATTAATCGACAGTATTTCCACGCTCGTAAATGCAAAACATTTCGACCCTTTGCGTCGTGAATATAAAATACCATGCGAACGCGAGCACGCCAGCTGTTTCGGGCTCGTGTAACATCGTAAACTTTCTTTGTCAGGATTATAATTGCGGTAAATAATCAATTAATTAAGACAGCCTCATGTTTTCGCGGTGCAAACCAGATTTTATGGAAATAACCGTGAACGTTATACCGCGCTCACTCCGCCCCGCCTCTCCTCACCTGCGGGAGGAGGGACGGGAGGAGAGAGCAGAGGCAAGGGAGTAATTGCAACGGAATGCAAATTGCGTTAATAACGGGGTCATCGCGTAATTCTCATCGCGAGCGTTGGCCGCGGTATGGCCAGTGTAATTATTATAATTTGCCCGGCGAAAATACCGGCCCGGCTAAACGATATCCATTGACAAGAGAAATCTGCGTGGTCATCGATCGCCGGCCAATGTGGCAAATTAAAAGGTGATTTCTACGGCCCCTCTGTTTCGATACAAATCGATGGTTTTATAACATGTGAAACTACTCGAAAATTTCAATTATCTACTCTGTCATGTTTTTAATCCTACGCCTAAAACGATGTTCGAAGATCGATAACGATTTTGACCAGAGGTGTATTCGGGTAGAATGAGATGTTATGTAAATTATGAGAAACTCAGATATATACAGAAAGTTGATGTGATGAGAAAATTCATTTGAAAATAAGGAACCTATTAATTTCCACCAAACACTTCTACTATTTAATATGTGCACAGGTAAAACTCGGTGCGTCGTGTGAAGTGGCTGTAATAAAGCAAGTATTATAAAGATTTTGCATTCATGCATCATAAGCTGACGAAGGTAATAAAAAATTGGAATACGAAATATGTTTTTCTTTAAAGTACCCATGGCATATCAAAATCGTTCCTTTGCGCACCCCTTCAGCCTTACTCGTGAATGAGAAAAACGGAAGAAAAGGCAACAACCTGTCCCGAAGATTCATCCACCACAAAATCCTCAAACACCTTCAGCCCGTTGCATCCACCCGTTTTCCATCGACCTAGTACGAGAGAACTAAAACAGAAAGGAGAAACAAGAACGTACAAAGACCCAAGCAAAACGAAGATAAGACACGCAAAGGGAAAAGAAAGACGGCAGGGAACGTCCAGGCCGAAGAATAATGGAAACACCTTGGCCCATTACTGCCAAAATTCCCTGACCATTCTCTCTCTAAACGGGCACCGTTACCACAGAGGGTTTGTTCCGGAAGGGAACCGGTGGCACGTCGTTACCGGGGCAAACTACGTCGTCGACAACGCCGGTCGGTAAGTGCAGGAGGTCCGGTACGTTCGTGCCCGGCCACCTAGCAACCTGGTGCTTCGCTCGAGAACCCCTCTTCCTCGGGGTTGCAACCCTCTTTGCTCTTCACCCTTTCCTCTTCCTCGACCCCACTCAATTCCTCGCCCTTCACGGCGCAAGCGTTCATCCGCCCCATGGTATGGAGGTGTAAGTCCGACCGTAAACTCCGCCCAGCTTACCACGCGAACGAACCAACCCCCGTGACCATCCTCGACCCTCGTCCTCTGACAACGAGAATCAGGGGCGGGGACAGAGTTGCACGATTTCACGTCTGCCTCCGACCGCGTCTCGACGCTCTCGACGGCCAGTGTCACTCAGAGCGGGTCGCCAAGATGATCGGCGCCCTTATCGCGCAACCAACTACATACCGTAAATTCGAACGTAGATTCAACGCGATCCGTCGCGTCGCGGTCCTCAGTATCGAGAAGCTGGCCGATACCGTGCACGCCTAAGAGTTTCGCCAAAATCGCTTGTACATCGGCCCTACGATATCAGTTGATTATGACCATCCATTTTGTCTCGTCATCGACGCGGTTACTACCGACCTGGACATTCGTAGTGCCGTGACTGGACTCAACAGAGAACGATCTCCCGTGTAGGCCGCCGTACCCAGCGGCCGCCGGCACACGGGTACCTGCCGCGCGATGCTGGACCTCAAGAGCAGCGGGACCACCGCCGCGGAACTGCCACGTACTACGGCGTTCACCAATCTATCGATGCTGTTCGCCGGTAGGTCCGCACTTTAGCGTTCCTCGGAGCTTTTCCGGTTGTGGTTGCTTGGAATTCTGATTGGACTGGTCGGGCGTATATGGCTGAACAGACGGGTGTTTGTGTTAAAGTTGCATTTACTTTAGGCAACTTTTGGTTGATCGATCGAATCGTTCATAGCAAACTGTGTATGTAGAATTTCTGTCGCATGGAAATGAATTCTGATCGCTTACCTAAAAGTTGCCTGTTATTGATAGGCCGATAATTCAAATGGGATGGTGATCCGTATTGTACGTGACCACGTGACACATTTCCCCCATCGTTTAGTTTTGTTTCGTACAATGTTGGTACAATGTGCATGGAATTTTAGAATGAATGCATGTGTTCTTGGATAATTATACAGAGTTAGCCTCGCTTTTGGTGTCTCGTGTGAGGATCGTCTCCTGTTCCTTCGCTGTTTAAGAATGAAATTTAGAGTTAGTTTGGAATATGTCACGGTTCTGACTTTGTCATGACAGATCGGATTGTTCGTGATGATTCAGGACACCAATTCACGTCTCAAACGTTCGTCGAGTAAACTGATATTTGTCGTTCCTTCTGTCTAAAGGCAAGCTTTTGACTTGTTGCTGCATTAGACATTCGAGAATAAGCCATTGAGAATTTTATTGCGATGTTTCGATTTAGCGCTTGTAGTTACCTTCCTCTGGGAACAATATGACTCATTGATGTATGATACTTATTGTTAGTATGATACTTGAGATGAAAGAACCCCAATTGGCAGATTTAGATTGTAATATGCTACTGTAGAGTTGTAACGCATTGGGTCCTATCATTAGAACCTTATCATTAGGAAATTATGTATCTGAATACGTGTTATAACTATTAATTAGAATATAGGCTACATTTTAGGAAAGTCTTATCATAGTGAGATGACTACTTGGTCAATAAATTAATTCTAACATTAATCCCCATTGACCAGAAGATTTTTTTTTTTAATTAATAATTTTAGTGCGATGTATATAATGTAGAATAATAATTAATAACAATTTATTTAGTCAACCACGCAGATATCTCGCCATAATAAGTATCTTTCAGTATATATACCTATGATTTTTACAATGCATTTACAGTACATATTAAGATAAAAAACTAGTTATTTATTTGTACTTTTATAATTATAATTTTCTAATTATTTTGCGTTCTTCCAATTACTTATTACTTGCATTTCATATTTTATTATTACGACCACATTGCTGCTACTATTTTACCTACAGGATTACGTTATAATCGAAATTAGTCAATTGGGGTCATTCCTTTATTGGTATGATACTTAGTACTTACAATTTAACAGCGAGACATACCTGGAAACTTCAAGTACTAACAACCCCTAATCGTGGAAAGCTAAAATACAATGTTAGTTTATAAAGTCATAGAAAACTTTCAAATATACCTTCACCTATGTGAAGATAATTTTTAAAAGTCTTGAGATTAAAATCCTTTCCGTATTAGTCTTAGCTTCTCTATTCCCCAAACGCACATTGATCCTGTCGTTCCTTCACAGCACTACTTATCTTCCATTCGAACAATCTTAAGCCACTGTGGTTAGATCTATAAACCCCGTAAAATCCATATAACTTCTAAAATATTATAACAATAAAATATCAACGAGAAGGTAATATTACCATAAAGAATTTCCTTTTAAAAGATCATATGCTCCGAGAAACGGAATCACGCTGTAACCGTCGAAGTAGATCCGATGCGGAAAATCCTGAGGAAGGAGCACGTAATTCGACGAAAGTAGATAATTCTCGCGCTGAAGCGGCGCATTAGCGACCAGAGCCCAACAGCTTTTCGTGAACGTGAAATCCGAGGCCCTATTAATGGACCGTGGACTCCAGATCAAATGAAGGGGGCAGTAAAGACGAAAAGGTCGGCTCGTTCAGTACACCTAGATCGGCTGTTTGCACAGAAAGACGGACTTTCTGCGAGCGGCATGACGTACCGCCCCGCGTATGTACACACAGGGGCCGCCCTCGTGCCAATAACTGCCAAATGAAAATATATCTGTCTGCAAACAGACCAGCGGCGCTCGAAACACCGTCGGAAGAATCGGGTGGAGGTTCGTGCGGGATGAACATGATGCCTCTGAAACCAATACTGTGCATAAGCTTGATGATGACTATGACATTGCCGTTTAATATTTATAAGATCAATATTTTGTTTTTAGAAGAGGGTGATATATTAAAAATCAAAAGAAAAATGTAACACATTGAAAAAGCAGGTTGCTGTTTAAATTAAGTCCTCAACTTAAAAGATGGTGATAGAAAAAGGAATTAAGTATATTTTATACCATCTTTAATCCTATGATCTAAGACCTTTAGTACTTAAACTTTTCAGCCTGATAATTTCTTTATATTCTTCATATTTTACCTCTTTCTTACACTTTCCAAGATCGAAACTGAGGTTTCGTGAATGTTTCCCACGACGTAAGAAAGGGATTTAATCAATCGACGTGCCTCCTGAATCGTATTTTCCAAGTTGCACGGACAGAGAAGGCGGGGCGTCGTTAGGGGGTCGTAAAGATTTTCCTAAGGAATTGTTTTTCAACGAAAGCCGCTCGAAACCGGCGATCAGATATATTTTACGGCCAGCAGTGATTCACAGAACTGATTACCTTGCAATTGCAGACGTTATACGTCTTCTAATAACGTGACCTAAAAAAAAATTGTGCAATCTCCTGCCAGGGATCACAAAGTAACACGTGCCTGGTTGCACTTTCTACTTCGATCGATGTCGAGGCTTTTTGTTTCAACATTGTGTCGTAAACTGTTATTATTTGCCCGAAATTATGACGTTTGGAAGTTGAACGATTTCTTTATGAGATTATACAAGTACCATTACTCATGTAGCTTTCTGTTTCTTCACATTACAGATGCCAGCAGCTCGTACAAAGGTGGCTGGAGCCACGCCACGTCGCCGGCTCCTGGACAGGGTAAGTTTCTTTGAATATTGATAATTTCAAGTAATTTTTAATTTCATATACCTTTGGTACTCTTGGACTGACTCATAGTAGGAATAATTAATTCAACTTGAGGTTCATTTATATAAAATGATAGTATCGTCAGTGCTATTGACTTTATAGATGATTAAAATATAGGTGATTCCGTAATTTTAACAGTAGAATTATCGATCTGTAATATGTATTTAAACAGACAGTATAGCGAATAATAAATAAATAATTAAAGTGCTTATTAAAATAATTCAAGTGATACTGGACCCTGAAATACACTTCTTCAAAGAATCATATTTGCTCCTGTATACCTGATTAACTAAAGGATTGTTGGTCCTAAAAACATGATTCGTGTCTCTTATCACAATTGATATTGCACTTGCTTTGTAGATGTATGCAAACACATCGAACTTATTAAAATGTATCTCGTTCTCCTAAAAACAGTAACAATACTATAAAATAAGGAATAAAAATGTACAGTATATATAATAGATCGGTACAATATAACAATTACATTATATAGAATAAATTCCGCAATTCCATGGTTTCACATGGTGAACGTGTTAAATCGCACTCCCCAAACACCTAATATCTCCATCTCGATATCTCTTCGGTAAAACGGGAAAGAAGAAAGAAATGCAAGAAAAGCCCGGCAAACACCAATAATTTCACCGTAGGAACCAGCGAACCGCTACGAGAAGTCGCGGTGAATCGATCCTCGTTGCCATCTTATCGGCCACGGTGCTAGGATTCGAGCTTCTCCTACCCTCTACCCCTTCCCATCTCCTCTAGATTTTCCTTCTCCTCGTTCTCGATTCGCTACATATAGCTCGGCCAAAGGGTGGTCGGAGGCGCCGCTGGGTGCAAGTTCACGCGTCGCGGCTCCTGGCTTGTTCCCGTGCCTTTGTGTGCGTCTACAACTCTGCGTCCATGTGCATGTATGTGTGAGAGAGAGTAGGTGTGTGTGCACGCGTGTGTGCACGAACAGGGTGTAGGTGGGTGTCCCGGCGCTTTGTGGCGCGTTGAACCGCGGCCCCTTTGTCGTCGAGAGAGAAAGAGAGAGCGAGAGCGAGAGAGAGAGAGAGAGAGAGAGAGAAACGAGCCCCGGGGGCTGTGTAGAGACGCTTGGCCGCGCGGCAACACCGAACAGCCAGGCCCCACCCTGTGGACGGCGCTGGCACAATCATCTCGCGGAGATCAGAGAGCCCTGCCCGCGGGCAGCTTGTTATAAACGGCTTCTGGCCGCCCGGCCAGGTTACAACGCCATGGATCAGCTAGCAAAGAGCGAATTAACGCTTTGACTCTGGTCTTCACGAAGCTTTGCGTGGCTGAGGTGCGGAAAGAATCGGTGGAACAGGAGAATGGTCCTTTATCTTGATTCCAGGGGTTGAATGTTGGTTTTGCAAGATTTTATAGGACAGATTCGGTGTATGTAGTAGCGTTCGGTAGCGAGATTGCAGAAGCTGTAAGAGAATATGCGGGGTAGTTAGGATAAGTTAATTTGCTCTTTAAGTTACTACTATAGGGTATACAGTAGGAAACGAGTTGGAGCTATAATTACAACTTACTTGTTTGGCCAGCTGAATGTTGATTCTTTAAGATTTTGTTGGGAGAGATATTGAAGAACATATCCATTACTTCTAAATGATTAAGTTGTTATCAAAAAATATTCAACGGCATCTATGACTAAAAGTTTCTGCAAATCAGAGAGATTGTGTATTAGTTTGGTGTATTAGTTGGTTCGATGGAATACGAACTGACACAATCATTTTACGGAGTTCAGAGGTTTAGCCTGGGGTGGTTTGATGTAAACGGCTTGTGGTTTCGACGCCTCGTTAGATTGCAATCACCATGGATCAGTTATCAAAGAGGGAATTGATGGTCTTGTTCACACGTGCGGATCGTACACACTGCGACAGCGTTTTCAAACCGAAACTGGAGAACAAAGTACACGGTAATGCAAATGCTCTTCGAACGTCAGTCACTTGGAATTTCAATTAGTTTCTCCATTCTTATGTAAACGATTGTCCAATTATCTTTAGCAATATATATTAATAATTATAGATTAAAACTGAATCTTTTGTAAATATAAAAATTTAATAGACAACAAACACTGATTAAAACCGATGAGATAGTTAAATTATGAGGGTGTATAAGTATGTCTGCTGAAGAATTTTACCTACGTTTCGCTGTTGAACTACGTTTCGTAATCGAATTTTCATTACCCAAATGAAGATATTTCTCAATTCTGTATTTGAAAATAAAAATAATTCCATAACCGTGAATGCTTATTCCAAAACTTAGCTACTAATCTACCACAAGGACGCCATATTATTACACTACAAAATTCTTGCTTACTCAATCACCACATTGTCTTCTGTCATTTTGCATGATTATCTACAGCGAGCTCTCAGATCCTCAACGTTGATCCTGTGATCCTGACCAGCCTCCTTTGATTCATAATTTACACATCAGAGGCAAAAGGGAACGAACCACCATTACCAAGAACCTCGTGAAATTACGCGACGACGCGTGTTGTCCCCAGGCCATTTTGCGGCTCCTGCGTGAAATTGAAATTACAAGCTCCCCTTTTACCAGGACTCACAGGTCGAATTAATTTGCTCCTTTCGGTGAACTTCATTTTCATTCGAATTTTATACAATACGCATTGTCAAAGTTGTTTCAATAATATCCTCGAAGTACCTAGACGACAATGAACATAGACAAGGTTCACTCGGTCATCAACTGACACGTTCAAGATGCCTCCTCGCATTGTGGTAATTCAAGCACGGCCATTAATGTTGATCGCGTGTTCGCCAAAAATTGCCGTGCATTACGCATGTATGCTTCTTATCGATAGAAGTGCACTCCATAGCACATTCTGTTCACGCCATTTCTTGGTAAGAAATTGGTAAATCTGATAGATAATCGAGAAGTGTTATCGAATAATGGTTCGATGCGAACTCCATTTAATCCTTCTTTGCGTTAGATTAGCGGTTTCATCTCTCCATCTATAAATAATTTTATATGAATTATAACTTTCATATATAAAATGTTCTTAAATTCTATTACTAGTAATTCGATATCTTTAATTAATCTGCTCTTTCCCCTTGTCGATACAATAATTATTTTGCGATATGAACACGTGTTCATTACTCCTTGCGTCTCTCTCTTATGATGAACTAAAATCAAGCACAACTACATCACCCCTAGTTCACCCCTGCAACCACTTCAAAGTTTCTCCAAAAGTATCCACTCTATTCCCCAAGATCTTCCGCTTGAGGCTACTCTAAAAACTTTACCTAATTCTCCACATTCGTAGAATCGTTTAAAAATTCGCAAAAATTCTCAATCGTCAGGGCACACGAAAAGTCAGACGCGTTTAACGAAAGGAACAACCGTGCACGAGCGTAAGAGCTTCGCCCAGGAGTGGATATCGACCTCCGTTTTCAACGGGTCTGCCCAGTGGCCAGGAAAAGCGACTCTAAGACAACTGGTAGAACAATAAAAGTACTCCTCCCTGTTTCCACGTCCGCTGCGAGCGTGCCTCGCGTGACTTCCTGACCCAAGTCGACCAACCCTCGATCTCTTTCTTACGTATATATACGCGTATGTCGATGTACTTATATATATGTGGCATGTGCGTGTATGTATGTGCCTGTCCGAGGGCAACCCTAACTTCCCTATGATAATTACGTACTCCGACACGGCGCGTGCCTTGGCAGTTCGCTCGCACGCCTGATCACGTATGCCGTGACTATCATACCACCTCGACACCCGTAGGTAACGACCAGGCCACCCTCTAGCTGGATCTCCGGAGTAATGGGCGTTTGAAAAAGTGCAATCAGAAGTCCGGTTACCGTGATTCAAAGGTGAATTGAAATCATACCCGATCTAGGAGGGTGAGTGTCAAAGGTGGGCAAACAAAAATGGAACCTCCCTTGGGTGTTTATAGATGTAGTGTCTGATCCTTGTACCTCTTTGTAGAAATTAGGTGTCAAGAGTTGAAAGGTTCTTAGACAAATGTAGAGTATTAATGTGTGATGAGTTCCAGGTGACGCGATACCTGCAACATTTTGAAAACATTGTTACTAGCTTTGTCAGGTTACACAAAATATAAAATTTATAATTTAATTAGAAATTACAAATACACAATGACCTTCATAATTTCAATTATAAAGCGTTAAATCGAGTATACAATATGGATCTGTATCAAACCATGTACGGTAGTTTAATCAGGCGCAATTGGAACTCAATCGAGGTTCCTCCAGGAACAACAGCTTTTATCGTTCCACCGCTGCTGTTACCTATTTTCTTTGCCGTATTACGTCGTTCGTGCTCAAGGTAATATGTTTTTGTTCATCAGATAACTGGCTTGCTATAGCAAATCCCGTTTGTAACGACGTGTTATGCTGAGCGAAATTAATCGTTTCCTAATTATCGCATAGCGTGAACGCGACACACCAGCGAATGAACACACTCGGAGAAAAAGGATTCTTGTCTTACCGGATGATCTTAACGCGCCGAAGGATTTCCTTTTGCATGAAATCTCGCCTCCGATACCAGCTCGTAATATTTATCGAGGAGGGTTCAATTAATACCAACACGAACATTCGCATACCTTGTACTGATATTCCGGTTTCTTGAAGCAAACATCTTTCTTTACGGGACTCTTTATTATGCCGGAGATCTTCTTGTTGGAAAACATAAAAACGAATATGAAACTTTATATGATAAAAGTAATATAGATATAAATTATCCACGGGATATCCTCGAATAAATTCTCGAAGAACCTGTGTAGTGATACAAATATCGAGTCAGTTTTGATTTACGGCGAAACTGTAACATTCCAGATTTACTTTTTTCAGATAAAATATTATCGGATAGTGCTTATAATATATACACATATAGTGTTAAGAAATACGTTAAAAAAATTATTCCTCTTTCATACTCGATCATTGGAACAAAAATCCTCCGTTATT